TCCCAAACAACTTCAAATAATACAAAATTATACTAACTAAAGCAATCTCCACTGTGCTGAGCGAGAGTGCTCCTTTTCCTGATAAACTAAACAGTCACATCATTGATGACGTAACCATGCTCGGGTCCAGTAGACAAAAATGCAATGTAAGAGCAGGCCGAGGGGAAGAGAGGATGGGGGACGATCACGCTTTGGCATGGTTCAAGGGAACTGTACCTAATGTGAGTGCGCCCGAAGGCCCTTCTCCAGACAATTCCTTTGTCTCTATGCTTGGTTTGTGATTTGACATGCACCGTCAACCCTGGGACCTTATATAGACAGGTGTATGCCTGTTCAAATCATGTCCAATCAATTGACTTTACCACGGGTGAACTCCAATTAAGCTGCTGAAGCATCTCAAGAATGATCAGTGGAAACAGAATGTAACTGAGCTCAATTTAAAGCTTCACGACAAAGGCTGTGAATACTGATGTACATGTGATTTTTTTTCAGCTTTTTTATTTTTAATAAATTTGTAACAATTTCAAAAAATCTTTTTTCACATTGTCATTATGGGGTATTGTGTGTAGAATTTTGAGGAAATAAATGAATTTAATCCATTTTGGAGTAAAGCTGTAACATAAAGCAGTGTGGAAAAAGTGAAGCGCTATGAATACTTTCCGGATGTATTGTAATTGAATTTGCTCTACTTCTTTAATAATAAAAAACAAACTGCATAATCCAATTCATAATGAAATGATTCAACCGAGTTGGTTTGTCTGAATCAAAAACACCCAGATCAGACAGTATAGGAATAGAATCCTAAGCAAATAAGTTGAATCGTATAGCCTATAGCTCACTGTGGGACTGTATTGCTGACTGGTAGCTCAGCAGGGAAAGATAAAATAGCAAGTTGACTAATGGTTTTGAAAGTACAAATTGATTTGTAATGGATATTTCCGCAAGTGTCATGCTTGTAAAATATGTAATTGTGGAAGAAATAGGCCGGCTACAATTTAAAAAAAGGTTTCAAGTCTTTATTTTAGTCATTTTACTCATCAATTATATATGTATAACTCCTACATTGAAAAAATACTATAGTAAGTTGCATTGAATATTATTGTGTTTTTAAGCTCCAAGTGTATACGGTATATGTTCAGCTAGTGTTTTTTTCCCACTATAAACTTCTGGTGAATAGTTAATGTGACCTTTTTTCAATTTTATACGCTTTCTTTTACAGTATCGATGTTGTAATGTAACTAATATAATGGGCTCTATTTTGACAGTCCATGCGCAAAACGGAAAGCGCAGGGTGCAAACACTTTCAGGGCGTGTCAGAATTCATATTTGCAAATTTAAGGATGGGAAAATCCACTTTGCACTGTGGTGCATGGTCTAAAAGGGTTGAGTTTATTTTCTTAATGAGTTATACGTGTGTTTTGAGAATAAACCAATCAGAGTCTCATCTCCCATTCCCTTTAAGAGCCAGCTGCGTCGCGTCATAAGTGCATTCGCTATTTACAGGACGTAAAGTAAGTGAAAGTGGAAAAACTGAGCATTTCACAAGCAAACAGTTGTTTTTTTTTTTTTTTTTTTTTTTACAGAAAACAGTTCAACAGAGCATCTACCGCGCAAGAATGAGAGATAATCAATCTACTTTTACTTTCGCTCTTGTGGATAGGGAAACCTTTACGCACAGACATCAATTAGCCTATAAATAATTAATTTTGTTTGTTAAGCGCAAATATTCGTTTCAAAACTATTTCTAAATTCAGTTCTAATTTTCAGCAAACTAATAAATGAACAATAATAATGAAGTGTGCTCAAAAACCTGAGTTATATCCTAATACACATGCTGTGCCCCATATGGTCTAAAACCTGCAGGTAGACAAATCTAAGCTTGTTTTTAATAAAACAAATATAAATATGGATATATTAAATAACACTGCTAATAATGATAACATAAAAGCAAATTGTTGTGAATTAACTGAAAAAGCCTCCCGAGATGAAGAAGGCATAAAAGCAGTGGTTTTCCATATTTATGTAGGCTAGAAAATAATGTTTTGTAATATTTTAATCCTTTATATTTATATCCTTTATATATTCTTATTATATCCTTAATATTTAAATTTTTTCATATGTAAAGATATTTGCGTATTGCTCTACATCTTGTGTGTATTAAGCAGTGTGTAAGCGAGGCGCAACTCTGCGCCGGAGTTTAGACCGGGTTTGTTTTGGTCTAATGAAAAATCTATTGAAGTTTCTCAAAATAGCAACACGCCAGCGGTCCGCCTCAGAACGCCTTCCTTTTTAGACCAGAACGCCTATAGGCGCACATATGAGCGCAAATGCATTTGCTATTTAAAGAGCGTGGCGTAACGCCTCAAAACGACTCTTGCATCAAGCTGAATCTAACAAACAAGTATTGGGCTACGCCTTGCGCCACATTGCGCCGGGTGTTTGATAGGGCCCAGTGAGTCAAATAGACTTAAATAGTTGTTCAAGCTTAAAACGAGATGAAAAGCTGTTTGCACACATCCGCCGTCAGGACCAGCAGGCAGAAACTCTGTTGAAAATACTGGAGTAAAATCAATTTTGATCTTTTAAAATGGGAAATGTAATTTAATGCAGTTTTTCTTGTACATTCGGAGATCCACTTTATATCGTTTATCAATCAGGCAGATTTGGAAAACAAAACAGACCTTAAACGTTGCAATTTTATACTGGCATACAGTTCAATAGAAGTGCTTTAACTTTGTTAACAAAAATAAAATTCCTTCTGCATATACTGTATATATTATACCATTTACAACTGTCTGTTAATGAACTCTACAGCGTAGTATTAACTTTACTAAAAAATAAAAGTAGTATACTTCAGTTTTTAATACAGTAAAATGTGGTGTACTGTATAATACTCCTAATGGGTAACTTGACTATCTTTATTTGTATTACCGTAGCAACTATAGAATGTCCACAGCACATTTATTCAAATATTGTGGTTAAACGCAAGAGATTAGTTACTAATATTTTTTAAATGTCGGTTGCTTTAATGATCAACCTTTAGTTGGACCTCCAGCAGTAACTTCTGCTAGGAAAAAAAAAACAAAAAAAAAACGCTTTTGTTACAAAAAAGATCAATTAAAATCAGTGTTAACTGGTCTGCCTTGTTTGAAATTTAATGTGGGAAAATAATGACTGTCCAGACTCTACAATGTATGTTTGTTGTGCGTGAAGAGCTTATTTTCCTGCATGAACATAAATAGTGAGCACGTTTTGAATTTTGGGTTAACTGTCTCTTTAACCACAACTCTCCACCTAGTGTTAACCAAAGACAGTTTAGATACAGGCGTTTCAAGAGACGTGTTATTGTTTAATGCCACACTTACATCATCAAACATGTTTGGGTGCCAAATATTATATTAATACTTGTATATCTTAAACACTATCAATTTCACTAATGTAAAATTTACAAAAACTGCAGGATACATAATTACTCCAGGAAATGGCGAGACAACAATTGTCTGTTTTTAATGTCTCTACTGTGGTTTTTAAACAAGTATAACAATGGTGTAGCAAACATTTTATTTGTTTAAAAACGATTCTGGGTCATCTGTTTCCACTGTTGCTCGCATTCAAGAAACTCATTTCCGATTAGTAGTCAACGCATCTGTAGCTTTTGGGGGGGAGGGTTTAAGGTTTACTTTAGTGGTTTATCGACTTCCTGACCCACTGAGATGCACATTTTGTAAACGTATGATGCTATATACTGTACAACTGTAAAAATGTCATAAGAAAGTGCCCTATTACAAAGGCATTCAATGTTTCTTTCTTTCTTTTTTTCGTGACCACGTTTGGCTATTATTAAGACTGCATCAATCCAATTCATATTCATAAACAAAAGTTTAGTGGCTTTAAACCTTTTTTATTATTATTTGTACAGAACAATATTTGGAAGTTATTCAGGACTCTATTCATCCAAATTGATTACATTGAAAACTGTATCTTTACATTTCTCCGTTATGTCTCTTTAAAGTGTAACTTCATTACAGTATTTTTATTTTTGTTACCCTGTTTGTTTGTTTTTGTGTATCTTTTGTGATAGTTTTTTTTATTTTTTGTATCATTTGTCTGTTTTTGTAATTGTGTTCGTTGTACTTCTTTATTAATAATAAAAAAAAACCCTGCATAATCCAATTCATAAACGGGTTTTTATTGAATCGTACAGCCTACAGCTGACTGTAGGACTGTAGCTGACTGGTAGCTCAGCAGGGAAAGATAAAACAGCAAGTTGACTTATAGTTTAAAATTACAATTGATTTGTTACAGAAAAGAGATTAGAGAAAAGAGGAACAAAACTATAAAAAAAAAGTATTTGCACAAGTGATACGCGTGTTTGCGTGAATGTGCAAGAAAGAGGCTGGCCACAATTTTCTGAAGTTTCAAGTCTTTATTTTTAGACCATCAGTAGCTTTACAGATAGACATTTTACTCATCATGCACCAGTTCACTATTACATGGAAAAAATACTATAGTAATTTACATTAAATATTATAGTGTTCTTAAGCTCTAATACTGTATATATTATACTATTTACGACTGTTAATGAAAGTTACAGCATACAGTTGTATTAACTTTACTGAAAATATACTAGTAGTATATTCGAGTTTTACTACAGTAAAAAGTGGTGTACTGTATATTCTCAATAGCTGAAGTAGATTAATAGATAATTCTAATCTATTCACGCGAATAGGCCTACTACACTCATGCAATTAGAATTACTGCAACTGAGTCATTCAAAACTTTATTATATGGTTAAAAATATTATATTATTAGTATACAGCATTTTTTTTTTTCGTTTGAGCTGCTTTAATGATCAACCACTAGCTGAGCTCAGGAAATAGGCTTATCTTCTACTAAAAAATGCTTTTATTAAAAACACAAATGACAAGATGCTTTATATATATAAGCATTTTGTCATTTGTGTTTTAAATAAAAGCATTTTTAGTAGAAGATAAGCCTATTTAAAATAAAGCATCTACAAAATGCTCAAGGAACTTTGCTGACATATATAACTGCAGCAGCTGCACTGATATTGTAAATTACTAGCTAATTCCCATCAATATGCTCAGCGTGACCAACTGCTTGCACAGAGAACCTGCCTTGCAAACATTGAGACATTTGTGAAAGATGATTCAGATCATAATTACTTTGTTGCAGATCCTTAACTGTTTCTACTTGCACAAGAATACACAGACATTTTTAGTCGTCTAATCCAATTTAGTGACTTATGCTTAGCTAAGAAAAAAGTGGAAAAATGGATTGAAAAATTGTTAAACTCAACATTTAACAGGCTTCAGCTGTGAAAGACACTGACTAAAACTAAAATAAAGTAAAAGCGGAGAGGGCATGTGCCATGATGAGGAAACTCATCCTGGAGAATATGATTAACGTCTTGTGACGACTCCTGCATACACCACCTCGTCCTCCTGTTTTACACTCTGAAACAAAAATAAATAAAAAAAAACATTTATAATTATATGCATGAAAAAAAATCCGAACACATAAAAATGTAGGCTATTATTAATGCATGAGTATTCAAATACTCGCAACATGCAACTTGGGCCCAATCCCAATTCTATTTTTGGGTAACACTTTTTTTTGATGGTCCATTTAAGCATTAGTAGACTGTCTGCTTAGTATCTGTTGATACTGCTCTTTCAACAGACATTTAACTGACTATAAGAAACTTTGCAAGTACTGTACATGTCAACTTACACTTACCCCAACCACAACCTTAACCCCAACCTAACATTCCACTTATAATCTAATGAGAATTAGTGGCATGTAGATGCAATGTAACTTAAATTAATCCAACAGACCATTAAAATAAAGTGTGACTTATTTTTGTACCTTTATCCCTTCCCCTTCCCCTTGGCCCTTGAAACAGAGTGTGAAGGGGAAAGGCTTCAAAATTTAGCTAAGAAATGGGACAGCACTACAGCAACTGTACATGTCATCATATGTCATCACTCTTATACATATGAGATTGATGATTGTGACTGCTGTAGTTACTGTTATTTTTTTGTATTTATCTTCAAGAAATCACTGGAGGCATATATTAGGTTATCATAACAATCTAATCATCATGCAAACACACAAAAACAACATTAATATAATGGCAGACACTGTAAAAAGCTCATTCCCAGCCACTAGACTTTTCTGATAGAGTATTCGATGGTCATCGAGAGTCAGAATGTTGTGGGACTGCTGTACAGGAGTTATTATTGTGGATTATAGATTGCGAAATTTGGTGTTTTTATTTTATCGTTTTTTTTTTTATAAAGCATTGCAGTAAAACACAAATGCGGTTATGAATATATTAAAACATGTGCTTGTTTGTTGTAAAAATTTGTCATGATTACAAAAAAATACTAAGTTGTGCATCTCCTGACCTCCTGGTGCAGCATGCTGCTGTTGTGGCTGCTGTATTCTGGGAAATTTTCTTACCCCTGGGTTTCAAGTGTGGTCCTGAAAAATCTCCTTTTGCAGGGGTGTATACCCCATCCCCTTAGCTCTACGCCTTCAAGCTAAAAAGAATTGGGACACCTCTACCCCTTTACGTGAATGGGCAAAACAAGGGGTAGGGGAAAGGGTAAGGGCTATGGAGTAGAATTGGGATTGGGCCTTGCTTATTCAACTGTAGGTTATACTGATTGTGAATTTATTTTTTAATTTAATATTAAAATACATCTTAAATATTTCCATTCCAATATTTCCAATAATTTCCAATTATTGACCATTAAGCGACAGTTTGCTTACAAAACTATCACTCTCTAATGAACATTATAGGCCATAATGCAACTAACTTTACACTTGTGCTCTAGTTTTTGGTTATTAGTTTCAGGAAGGTTTGACTTAAAAGCTACATTTTTAACAAATGCTGACATTCTCACACATATTTTCTCACTCGCATCATATATATATATA